TTTTGGATGTTAAAATGTTCTTTTTTTGGGGGGAAGTAATAGTGATAAGTAGTTGATAGATTTTAAGGTCCTTACTAGACAAAATAAAAAGTTGGCAAACATGTGTCAACTCCTTCCCACTAACTAATATTTACTTTGAAATCCCAAAGTTTAGAAATCACTAAACCAGTTAATCTTCAAGTTTTCTTATAGTTCTGGAAACCGGGGCTCCTAATTATTAAAGGAATTTATCTATAAGGACCATTCAGCATACGTCAGGCAGAGCATTTCCAAGGAGACTTAAATGCATCTGGTTCCTAATAGTTAATATTTTATACAGAGATACAGTTCTTGTCTCCTAAGAAATTGCAGTGTAAGAACAGAGAGGCAGATTTTTGTCATGGAAGATAAAAACATCAAACTAATACACAGTTAATAATGAGATATTCCTAGCATATAATTTAGGGTTAAATGGGAGGTGAGACAAAAACCATGATGAAGAGGAGGGGGCACTATTTGGAAAGAGTAACCACTGGAAATCTGTACCCAAACTAGACCAAAGGACCAAACAATCAGGTCATCTCAGAGTCAACCAGTACTATCTGGAACTCCTTAAATGTTAGTGAATTACTTTCATTGCCCTAATGTCCTGAGGCTGGGCATGGCAATAAAATTTCAATGGTTAGACTAGAGAGATGGTTTTCATCAGGAATCAAGAAAGTGCTTTGTTTTGTTGGTTTTGAGTTTTTATACCATATACAGGTTCTGTTGAAAATATTCAGACACTGGTTAAAATAACTAGGGCATCAAACTATTACACTATACGTGGATCAGTAAACAAAATTGTGGATAAAATTCATAATTAAGCAGATTCTCGTAATACCCAAGTTCATCCTTAGTCACAGGAGTAGGTATTTTTGAAAAATAAACTAACTTTCCAGACAACTAGTGGGTCAAATGATTGCTCTGCTTCATTCAAATGGTCTTCCAGTGGTCTCAGTTAATGTGGCTTCTAAAAGTGTGTTCACTTGTAAGCCAGGGGGTGTTTAAACCAAAAACCAGACCTACTGCCATTGAGTCCATTTCGATTCATAGAGATCCTTTAGGAGAGAGTTGAACTGACCCATAGAGTTTCTAAGGCTGTAAATATTTATGGAAGCAGACTGCTTCGTCTTTCTTGCGCTGAGCGGCTGGTGGGTTTGAACCATCCATCTTTTTGTTATCAGCTGAATGCTTTAACTAGTATGCCACCAAAACTCCAGAGGGCTCTCAAAACCAAACCAAAGTCACTGCCATCTAGTTGATCCCGACTCATAGTGACCCCCTCCCCGGGTTTCCAAGGCTGTAAATCTTTATGGAAGCAGACTGCCTCATCTTTTTTCCACAGAGCTGGCTGGTAGTTTGAACCACTTTGACCTTTTGTTTAGCAGCCATATGCCTTAACCACTACACCACCAGAGCTCCTTATAGAGGGTATTTTCAAAAAGCCAAACTCATGGCCATCGAGTCGATTGTGACTCATAGCAACCCCTCCTTAGGTTTCCAAGGCAGTATCTCTATGGAAGTAGATTGCCCCATCTTCCTTCCGAGGAATGGTTGGTGGGTTTGAACTGCCAGCCTTCTGGTTAGCAGTCAAGTGCCTTAGGCACTATGCTACCAGAGCTTCTAGAGGGTGTTTGTTGTTGTT